AGGGAAACGATAATACCTGATAACTAGGTGATTATGCAAATTGAAGAGAAAAAGGATGTGAAGTTCTGATAGCAAATGAAGAGCCTGAATTGCTTTTTTTTTTCCTTCCCTTTTTTTTTTTTAACTTTGTGAATTACATGTTTTTCTTTCTCCTGAGTGTGAGATATGGATCTACCACTTTGTATTATGAGATTCCTAATTGGATGACATAATAGTGGACGCTTCGTGATTTTGTGCGGGGATTGTGGAGTCAAAAGTTTATGGAACGTGTCATGAGTCATTTTCTCACGTGATAAATGTTCATTTACGTTGAAATGTAGAGAAAGGTTGGATGAAGAGGAAGTCTAGGTTTAGAGTTGATTTTAAGGTAAAAATAGGAGGTATAGATAACTGAAATAAAAGATGATGCATGTGTGCGCTTCTCGGATGTGAATTATTGAGATTGTACAATGAGTTTCTTGTTTATCATGAGCTTTTGGTTGGGTGTCAGATGCTATACAAGTGGCTTATTAGCATCTGAGATGTTTAAACTGTAGCATTTTTGTCATAGAGAAGATTGAGCTGCTGTCAATGGTGATTAATCGCTACTGTCTTGATAAGAGGATATTATCCCTTGATGATGATATAAAGAGGAGAGGGTAGACTCAATTATTTGCATATAGTCCAACTGGGGAGGTGCAAGATGTTTAAGCTGAAAAATTAGTTTCTTATGCTTCTTGTGTTGCTATAACCAATTTTTTATATCATGGGAGCATATGAAAGATTTGGTTGCGCATTTGTCATTAAAATGAAGTGTTGCTTGTCACTTGCTTAATCAAAGGATAAAGAAAAAATAAGTTTTCACTTGCTTAAATAGAGGGTAATGGCTGTTGGTCCATACTTTGTGTTATAGGAAACAGAAATAATAGGTTTTCTAGGGACGTCTTCTACTACTCCTAAAAGTTGTTTTTCAAATATTTGTTTCTCAAAAGAATTCTCAATCTCCAAGTTTTCTCGTATTCTTCATATATATGACTTGCACCTGTATTTGTGTCAGAACTGAAGTAAAACATTGTGAGTTTTTTTTTTCGTTTTCTTGCTAAGTAGAGGTATTTTCCTGTTCAAAATAAAGTAGAGTTACTTTCCTTAACCTTCAGGAAATGCCAACCTTTCCTCTTTACATCAAGAAGCGAGATCAGTAAAGTTTTGCTGCATACCTCGAAGCTGATTTGGACTATGTTTCTTTGATTAGAAACTTTTTTTTATGTATAGGGGTCAATGTTGAGACCTTTTTTTCTCCAACATTTTAGAAACTGTACTGTTGAGTTACATATTGACCAACTAATTCCCAGGATGTTTACTAAAAAACTCATGATTTGAGAGGTAACTTTACAGTGTGAAAATAGAAGATTGGAAGCCTCCGATTATTCCTCACATAGTGGAAACCTCCTCTTTGGTGTTCCGTTGTGTGAGGCGAGCATCATTGGCTACAAGCCAAGTAAAACAATTCACCTTGGATGGAGCCCTGTTCCTCTAAAACTTGTGTTAGGAGTTGTTAGCCACTTATAGCAAGATTTGACTGAAAACAAGCCTTTGGAATGTCTTAACCAATCCACGGAGTCAGACTTGTTCACAGCTGTAGACGTGTTGTTCAAAAGTCACAACAAAAGACATGTATTCTCTATCTCTCAATCATAACAATGTCTTCTAAAATGGGTTCCAGCTTAGATCATGTTTAACATCATCAACAGTAGCATATTACTGAGAGGAAATAGTGTACAGATCTGGAAATTAATCTTGAGAGGGGAAATTCCCAGCCAGTTGCCTTCGCAAAGTCTAATCTTTTTGTCATCCCAAAAGTGATCTTGTTATAGAAGAATGTTCCCCAGAAGGATCTAATAAATTTCCAGTAACTTGTGCTATGCGGAGAGTTTTGAAGTTTTGTGATCCAGGGATCTAGTAAAGAATATTTCTGTCACAACTTTCCTCCATAGAGCACTGTCATCTTTGCTAACACAGCCATTTCATACGAAGACTTTCTTTGTGTTTTTTCAATCGATTACTCCCGGACCACCCCATCTCTTATCTGTGATGACTTTGCTCCATTTTACCAGACTAGCCTTCTCTTGTTTGTTCCCTTGCCAAAGACAATTTGTCTTCTCAGCTTGTTCAATTTGTCAGTGACCAAAGTGGGGGCAGGAAACAGGACATACTGTACGTAGATAGGGCATCAAGTACACTATTGATACAATTAAGTCTGCTGGCCAAGGAAAAATATTGATGTTTCCAATTTGGAAGTCCTTTTTCTGGCTTCTTGAATGCCGTCCCAAATAGAAATTGACCTGAATTTTTCTCCCAAGGGTAGTCCCAGATACTTAGTGGGAAGGCTGGCAATGTTGCAATAAGTTATCGAATGTTGTGAACAATGTCTTGAGAGAACAAGAAGCTCTTTGAGAAATTAATTATGAAGTCCAGAAACCGCCTCAAAGATGCTAAGAATCATACTGAGAAAAAGAACTTGCTGCCCTTCAGCTTTAATGTTGTAGGAAAGTATTCTCTAGTGTTTTTGTTTTTATAGATGGCAGCAGTCGGGATGGACATGATAACTTGGTTTTTAATGCTTTTTCTTGAAGTGGTTTCATTCTTCCCAAGGCATTGTTCTATTATTTTTGTGATTGACACTCTTATTTTTTTAATTCTCCCGACCCCCTTGATGCGATGATATTTTGGTGGCAAGATCATGTTGTAGAATCTTTAAGTGACTCATTATATAAGTATTAATTTAGAGGCCTATTGCACATTTACCAAAGATTGTGATTCTTTTATATACTCTATTTTCTGTTTCTGTTTTACGCCTTGATGATACCATTGTTATGAGGAAAAATATTTTTGTATGATTTGGATGTGTAAGTTGCTTTGGCAACCATCACCATTATTCTTCGTGTGACTATCTTTTAGATGCAAGAGCAACAAAAGATGAGCTTTTTCATTTTCTTGCCCTTAGGTTCTATATGATATGAAAATATAACTAGAGCTTTGTGGGTGGAAATCATATGTTTGATCGTAAGATGACAGTATTATTCTTGCCTTTGCAGATTCCTTGGCTGAGAGGACTTCCACTCAGGTAACAACAGAGCGGTTTAACTTCTTTCTGAAGACAATTTCATGACATGTTTATAAGTTCTTGACATGCTTGCTTTCTTTTATTTTTGATAATTAGGTTAAAGAATCAGACGGTTCATCAGCACTTTCATTCCCCTCTCCTGGAAAGCTATCTCCATCTGCTCCCTCTGTTTCATCTTTATCCGCATCTCCTTTATCACCACGTAGTCAGCTGCTTCCTGCTAGCTTTACTCCTAGTTTGCCTCACCATTCTTCAGCAAACCTTCTGGGACGACAAGTTCCTGATAGCCGTGTACCAGGGATGAAGTCACCTACATTTTCAATTTCTGAAGAATCATCTTCCTTTGTGCTCCCTGGTTGGGGTAATGACTCAACTAGGGGCTCTCATGGTGGGTCATCAGATGGTTGGTCAGTTCCTGCCTTTGCTGACCTGTCAAATCCTCGTAGAGACAGATGGTCATTTGACAGCGAATCCTTTGGTTTCCATCGTGAAAGGGTTACTAGTCGAAGTTTTGGTTCACCTTCTTTCAATCTCCAGACATGTGCCGTATGTGCGAAGCTGTTGAATGAACTTGTTGTTGCTGTTCTAGTTTGCGGCCATGTTTTCCATGCTGAGTGCTTGGAGAATGTGACGTCTGAAATCAACAGGTATGACCCAGCTTGCCCCGTCTGTACTTTTGGGGAGAAGCAGACCTTGAAGATGTATGAAAAGGCAAAAGCTAAGATGGATTTGAAAGCTAGAAAGAGATTCCGGAATCGGATTGTCGACAGTGATATTAGTGGCAATCTTGCTCGTTTTGAGCATCAGAAAAGTAGTCCACATGAAGGAAGGTGTCCCAGGATGAGCTCCAGTTCCAGTATGAAAAGCTCTTCAAGGAAGCCTTTCCTACGACGTTATTTCTCCTTTGGTTCAAAGGGATCAAGATCCTACTCTGAGAGTCTTTCAACTCGGAAAAGGGGGTTTCTCTGGACAAGATCTAACAAGGGGTAGGCTTCTTTGTGGACATAAAAGGTAAGGAACTTCGTTTCGAAATTTTACCCAGTAATATTGTGAAGTTCCCATCACGTTTACATCCTCGTTTGTGCACTGGATTCCTGATAGATTTTAGTCCAAATCCCGTGCTCAGTCTTGTGATAAATGTTTTACATTGCTTTCGTATTTGCAGATGCCATGGGTAAGCACTCTCAGCTACCTTTTTGGATAGTAGAGAGTCGTAACAGCAGCCATGATCTTGATGGTGGAACTGCATTCACAGGCAGGTTTAAGTACCTTCTGAAGTATACACTGTAAAAAATGGGAACAATACAGGCTGGATGATTAATTTGTTATATAGCAAAGGAGAAAATGCAAAATTCAAAATAGTTCTTTCAATGTACGTTCCTTTGGATTTTTTTTATGTCGTGAATATCTGTATCTGCTTTAAAGTGCCCATCTCTATTCCCTGTACCGCAAGTGCAGGAATGAGTTATCCGCCCTTACAGTTATAGACCTTTTTTGTATTTATCAGTCGGTCAGAGCGCTTAATACTTAATCTACAACCTTAAAAGCATTGGTATTGCTCCCTCTTGACAAAACAGGTCAAACTGTGTAATTAATCTAGTTACATCCAAATCCAATTACAAAATAGCGCTCTTAAAGGGGAAAAAACTTGGATGGAGAAAATGTATTTGGGAAATTGTGAAAAACACAGAGAGAGAGACGGCTTTCTTCTATCCTCTTTACCAAATAACTGTCTTTTTGCTTCTTTCGTTCACATCAACTTAAAACAAATGACCCTAACGACAAAAGCAATCAAATGAACCTAGACTGCCGTTACACATTTACCTCGATTGTACTGCAAACTTGTAATAAGGCAACAAATATTTAATTCAAATCGTGATTCTCACTCAAAATCACCTTCAGCAACTAAAATTTCTAATTCTGACTGCAACTCAAACTCATTTGTTAAGTTGCATTTGGTAGTTAATATGAATCATAATTCAGTAACACAAGCTAGCAAGGTATTGCATATACCACAATCTTCATCTTAATATCCACTAAATACCACAAAAGGAAGAAAAAACTGAAATAAGGTTCTGCGCTCAATAAAGAAATAGACTGGGTGTGGGATGCTCTCTTGAAACATGCTTTACATATTTCTTGAAGATGGGCAATACAAGTAAACTCAACTACAATTGTAGGACGAGAACATAGCCAAAGATTGCGGCCAGTCTAATAGCTCCTTGGCAGAAATCTCTTACTCCTTGCCAAAATCAGCACTGTAGTGCGCACTTGATTCAAGTTTCTTTGCTTCATTCAGTTTCCTTACAGCCTGTAGTGAAATATTGAAACTTCATCTCAGGCAATGGAAGACGAAAGGAAAAGAAAATTGAAAAAACAGAAATAAACATGAATTCAATAAAAGAAAAACAATAAGGATTTATTCCTAAACAAGGTACAAAAAGTGAACATTGACACATGAAGGTTTTTCTTTGTGCATCCCTTTATGCTATAAATTTAGAGCACCCTCTCTAAGGCAGTTTAGAGAAATCTAAAATAGTTTTTCTTAACATCACTGATCCATGTATAGAATTTCTATTAGGCATATTTTCCTTCGGACAACTACCACCAGTACAATTTCGTATAAAGACGAACTCTAAGAAGTCAATTGATTCCACAATTTTTCTAGCTCATTGAAACTAGGCAATTACCATCTTACTAATTGAAAACATGGAAAAGAAGAATGAGACATACCTTCATGAAATCCTCATGGATGACATAATCACGCTCTGCACGTATGGCACACATACCAGCTTCAGTGCACACATTACGAAGATCAGCCCCATTAAAACCCTGAGGAAAAATACAATGTCATAACTCCGCCTAACACAAGCAAACTAATTGTCGTAGCACCACTAGCACACACCTCAGCAAGCTTAACAACTGCTTCATAATCAATGTCGCCATGTTTGGCAATTCCAGCAGCATGAATCTTGAGGATCTCCATTCTTGATTGTTCATTAGGCAAGGGTATTTCTATCTTTCTATCTAACCGACCAGGGCGAAGAAGAGCTGGGTCCAAAACGTCTGGCCTGTTTGTTGCCATAATCATTTTTACCTGCAAGCAGAATAAAATCACACCTACTTAGCCTTGATGAAATCTTTATTTTAAAAAAATAATGTGGAAAATCAGAGGAACACCATAGTAAAGGCCTACTCAAGCAAACGACCCATATGCACTCTCCTGATTTAAGCAAAATTCTCTTTTTAGTATGTCTAAATATGATAGGCAATCAAGTTTTAAGGATATCTTTTATTATTTCGGAAGTTGAGAACCAGGAACTGGAAGTATGGAGTACAAAGATCAACGACCTTTCCAAGCTGGTCAAATCCATCCAGCTGATTAAGCAACTCCATGAGCGTTCTCTGAATTTCACGGTCTGCACTTGTTCCCTCACTAAATCGACGTCCACCAATTGCGTCAATCTCATCCATGAAAATGATGCAAGGCTTCAAACAAAGACAAAAATTGTCAGTACATTTTAAAGCAGTACAGTACCAAAAATGGTTCACTGGATTTAGTATACCCAGAGAGGATGTCTTTGAAGTCCTTACTTGGTGATCACGAGCATAGTTAAACATTTCCCGGATTAATCTCGCACTCTCACCTATGTACTTATCAATAATGGCACTTGACACTACCTGCATTTTCACCAACTATAAATAAATACCCATCTTACGAAGTACTTTAAGAAAGGAGGAAATAACCAAAACCTCTAGTACTCACCTTTAAGAAATTGGCGTCAATGTTGCTAGCGATTGCCCTGGCTAACAAGGTCTTGCCAGTCCCAGGAGGCCCATAGAGAAGAACACCCTGAGAAAAATAAACTTGGTAGAATCAGAAGAGATTTTAAAAGCAGCAGATGTTTCATCCATGCCAACACCATGAAGAACACACCAGAGACATGAATATGGTTGAATTATATGAAACAAGGTACCTTTGGAGGCTTAATTCCAACACGGAGGAAAAGCTCAGGGTTCATCAAAGGTAGTTCTATTGATTCTCTCAGCTCTCTGATCTGATCTGACAGTCCACCAACAGCAGAGTAGCTTATATTGCCAGGATCTTCATGGAGCATATTATATAAAACAGGATCAACCTGTCAGACAATCTCAATAAGGAACTCTGGGAGGGGAAAATGTAATAATTCTCTTTAAATTTCCCAATAGTAGCACAGAAATATCCACTAACTTCACGTGGGAGTGCCCTCATGATTGTAAGAGTCGTCATATCGAGAACCACTCTAGTGCCTGAGGTCAGTTTTTCCTTGTCCACTTTACTGCGACAGCCAACCACATACCTTGGACCGCTACTGGCTTTCACAATCACTGAAAGATATTACATGCTTTTAATTAGTCTCACGAATTTCTTCCACTTGTTAGAATAAACAAACTAAGCTGGGTCAATAGTATGATTCCGAACAGAATGCAATAAGAAAATGAGCAAATAGTGAATATGCTAATGCATGGACAATAGCCAAGAGAATAGAAACAAAAACGAATAAGCAGTACACACAGAAAATGTATGCATGATTCAACCAATGAATAGCACCACTTGTCACTGGCTCGCTGATATCTTTGATGCACAAAACCACAATGTTACATTCAGAAGTAGACTCTAGTTGAACAAATGAAAGTTCGTATTTGGGGCCCCACTTCAGCATCATTTATTTTTTCATCCTTTATTTTGGTGATGAGGGCACAGGGGCTAAACTCCTTAAAATCAATAGATCTCAAATTGAAGACAAAGGAAATACAAGAAAAAAATGTATTACAGCGTTCGTTATCTAGAGGTCGGAGCACTTCGCCGATGATCTGCCCAACACTCTGAAGCGACTTCAAATCATCTTCTGTTTTACCATATTCCTTTTTGGCAGCTCGCAAGTTCTCTCTCACTGTGTACAATTTTACAACCAGCATCAGTTATACAACCATGGAACTCGAAAAGCAATACACATAGAATAAAGATTGTTTGCACGTAGATTATAAATTGCTTGGCATCTTATAGAAAAATGAAATAAAAAAAAATAGATAGATAAAATAAGTGAACATAATGATACAGAGTATCACTAGACATAACAAAGCAGAGTCGCTGCTTTGAGTTTTCATCTATCAATTCCTGATGTTATTTGATGATATCTGGTTAAAGCGGAGCTCTCATTGATGATACGGAAGTCGCACACTAAATACAGACAAAACCAGAATCATTGGCCTATCAGAAATTTTACAGTGGAGAATTATAAAGAATAAGTCATTGTTACCTCCTCTCAAAAAGAAATACTGGGTAAGCTATACAACTGTTTCCATATACTAAAGGTTTAGACTTATGATGTTGCTTTATAGAACAAAACAAGAATTTGGTGTCCAATCAGTGTTATCAAAGGCGAAAAGCGCAAAAAGCTCTAAGGTCTATTGGGGCTTTAAGCGCAAAGAGCAAATAAAGCGTTAGCTTTAATGAAGAAAAGCGCAAATGGAGAAAAACTATAAATATGTATGTGTAGTCTAAGACTAATATCCGTAAGCGTGAATACAAAATATGTGGACAAAGAAATTGAAGAAAATTTACGATAAAGTGAAATATAAATTTGTTAGTGTCGCCTTTTCAGGATTACGCTTATTGGCAAGGAAAAGTATGTCTTAGAGCCTTGATGCCAACACTGAAGCGCCCGCTAAGTGAGGCGAAGCGCTCAACTTGTTTTGAGCCTCGTTTCAGGGCTTAAGCGCGCCTTTGATAGCACTGCGTCCAATGGCGAAAGAACTATGCTGCAATATTTAGATTATTAAGATTCTTTAGATAAAATAAAGCTATGATTTGTAGGAAGGAATTATTTTCTTAAGAGTTCATAAGAAGTTCTGAGAGGTTGCGATATTGCGTTACACATCATACAAAGGTTAGACATTTTTTATAAGGAAAACATGTTGCAATGCTTCCGACCTGTAAGATTCTTCAGGAAACAAAAAATAAGATATGTGCTGATTGTGACAGGTTACAGAATTACACTTCAGATTGATTTGCAAGATGTAGGACAAGAATAAAGCTTTCCATTATTAGCTTATTTATTACAAGGAAAAGTCAGAATTGAGATATCCTTCTAGTTGAACATGAAATCACTAATGAGCTAAGGAAACTTATTGTTGTAAGCTAGTAGCTATATGATGATTGTTGACCAGACAGACCACTAAACTGACAATTCAAATTGATTTGTGTATGATCAAGAATAGAGCTCAGTGCTCACTTTCTTCAGTTCATTGTTCAAACTTCAAAATCAAGTGATTCAATGATATTATGTGTTAAATATGTGTAGTTTCAAGACATGTAGCCCATGCACATCAACGTAAGAAAGTAATTACTCCATCTATTTCAATTTATGTGAAGCTATTTCTTTTTAGTCCGTTCCAAAAAGAATCACCTCTATTTAAATTTGAAAATAATTTATCTTAAACTTTCCATTGGCTTTTATAGCAAACAAAAAAGTTATGGCATGTGTAAGATTACAAGTTTCAAAAGCATTATAGCTAGCCAAATCTATGACATGTTTTAAACCACAAGTTTCAGATGTCATTCTTTTTTTTCTTAAACTCCGTGCCCAATCAAATAAATTCGCTTAAATTGAACGGATTGAGTACTTACCTTTTAGTACATAGAGAATAATTGCTTCCCATATTTTAAGTAGATCAAGACTCCAATATAGAGAATCCCTCTTATCTATTATCACAACTAATTCAATAAGGATCATTCTTTCTACTTTTTCTCTTTTCACATGGTATTAGAGGCTCTAAATTTTTTGTTAGACACCTCAGTAGCAATATATTATCCGTTTGCTAACCTAAAGAAAGTGAAAAGCATGGTCATTGGATGACAAACATCTAATGTCAAAAACAAATAGAAGCTCTAGAGACCGTCACACTGTAATGGCACTCTTTAGCTAAGGGGTGTAAAATTGACCTTCATCGGGAAATTACAGTGTGGCTAGGTAAAATATATATACTATATGTTGAATCCCCTCGACTTTTTTGTGTGTTTACTTCTTTATATTTTGACTCACTTAATGAAAAGCATGGCTCCGCCATTGATCTTAAGTGTTGTTTTATCCCTATGCAAAGCAATCATAGTATAAAAAGAAGGAAATATTCCTAGCAATGTAAAAGAAATCTCACAGCAACCACTAGGAGTGGCAAACGGGCGGGTCGTGTCAGATATGGTTCGGGTCGGGGACGGGTAATGAAAAAAAGGATAAATTATCCGACCCGACCCATATTAAATACGGATAAAAAACGGGTTAACCAACGTATAACATGGGTAGCCATATTATCCATGACTTCTTGAATATGATCACTTTTGGTAGAATTCCTAGTCTCCCAAACTTGAGGAATGCCCAATTTGAGGCTTTACAAACGTAAAAGTTAAACCCATTGGTTATCCATTTAGATAATATGGTTCTTATCCATATTTGACCCGTTTTTAAAAACTTCATTATCGGGTGGTTAACTGCTTTCTTTTAAACATTTTGCCACTACTAGCAACCACTGAACTAAGTGTTAAGGTGGTCCCAGCATAAGCTAAGCTCTTCTAGCATCAGTAGTTCTAGACATCAGGACTTCAGCAGAAACCGCATACTAGTAAAAGATGGCTGCACTACATTACTATCATCACACACTTTATGTCGGCTATATGAATTCTCTATATCCATTTAGAAACTTTAGGATTTTGATTTCTGTAATTCCTCTCTTGACACAGAACATATATTATCTAATCTTACCCTCAATAAACCTAAAGTTAAAGGAGACCACAAATTTTGTGCATCTAAGCAAACGATTATCAGCTAAAAAACTATGCATTTTAATTCTCTATCTGATGGAGCAATGATTTTAGAACTCCGGATCCAATATATCAGCAGCTTATGCGCGCACACACACACCGAAATAGAAAATATGACGATCAACTACTACTACGCGTTAACCCAATTTTTTTTCCTATATATATAAAAATATACCTACTTATATAAACACATACTATGTACTGTGTATGCACGTGGAATCAACTGACTTTAAATCTTCGATCGACTTCAGCTTATCAAAGACTAGGGTTTTGAGATTTTAGAGAATCTTACCAGTCCCTACCCGAGCATTTAGTTCCTTGTGCTGAAGGAGCTTTTTCCGGTAATCAGCATATGCCGTACGGCGCCGTACGGCGGCCTCATCTCCCTCGCTCGTCATCGGAATTTGCTCAATAACTCGCCTGAGTATATCCGAGTGACTTGGGTAACAAGACGTAATTTGTGTGATGTTTTACACACCTCTTTCAGCAGAGGGAAGAAGTAGAGGTAGCAAATAGGTGGGCTTCGGCTACTAGACTTCATTCAAGCCCAATTATTTTAGTTTTTGGATCTTTGTACAGATTTAGGGAAGTAGGCCCAAGCACTAAAGTAGAAAAGCCCAACTACTAATGATGAAAGAGCTTTTTTCACTTTTAGCCCATGCCAGAAAATATTTACATTTGTTAGCCGAAAAAGTGTATAAATTTTTTTATTTTTTATATAACATACATAATATATATATATACAAAAAATATATATTTTTTGGCTATTATTTTGAAAACGAATATACAATGTCATTTTCCCATGATGAAATCCCAGATTGCATTATTACATGAGGTGGCCATTTTCTGTGATCTTGAAATTTGAAATTGATCACTTTTTCAAAATTAGACTCATGGTCTGAATTTTAGTTTTGAATTTTAAACTTTAGACTAAGCGATCAATTTTAAATTTCAGATCACGATATAATTTTGAAAAAGTGGCTAACTTATAAATACAAGGCCACAAATGGCTACTTGTGCAAATCACCTATCAAACATTCAAACATTTGCAGATTTACTGCGAAAAGCCACAAGAGTGTTGTAGGAATCTGATACTATCGAGAGGAATTTTCAGAAAGCGCTATTATTTAGTGGCTATCAACTATAGCTACCATATACATAATTACTTCTTATAACTATTATTCAGTTATTACGGTAGTGTATTCGTTGTATTCGTGCTGCTGTATTCATGAATACAGCAGCAAAAAGCGCCTAAAAATCAGGGCAGTCCAGCTGTACGCGCATGTATTCACATGTATTCGCGCCATGTATTCATGAATACAACAGCAAAAGGCGCCTAAAATAAGGACAGTCCAGCTGTACGCGCATGTATTCACATGTATTCGCGCCATGTATTCATGAATACAACAGCAAAAGGCGCCTAAAATAAGGACAGTCCAGCTGTACGCGCATGTATTCACATGTATTCGCGCCATGTATTCATGAATACAACAGCAAAAGGCGCCTAAAATCAGGACAGTCCAGCTGTACGCGCATGTATTCACACGTATTCGCACTGCTGTATTCATGAATACAGCAGTAAAAAGCGCCTAAAATCAGGGTCGTCCAGTTGTACGCGCATGTATTCACATGTATTCGCGCCATGTATTCATGAATACAACAACAAAAAGCGGCTAAAATCAGGTAGTCCAGCTGTACGCGCATGTATTCACATGTATTCGCGCTGTTGTATTCATGAATACAACAGTAAAAATCGCCTAAAATCAGGGAAGTCCAGCTGTATGTGCATGTATTCACATGTATTCGCGCCATGTATTCATGAATACAGTAACGATAATCACCTTAAAAATAGGTATGTCCAGCTGTCTAAGAGATAGGAAAAACATAATAGCGTATTTCATTCCTTATTTCATACCTCAATGGTAGTATATACCATAAATACTTATTTTGTTATAAAATATAAAAGGTAACTATAAAAAATAATATTTTAAAATAATTTTGATTTATAATAAATAGGGTGTATATCTTTGCTATAAGAGGTAAAATTTCCTACTATTAAATAGGGATCTTTACACAAATAGCCATTCCGATTCATTATTTATTTTTCCTAGCCAATATAACAGGTTATACACATTATATATGGAGTATATTAATACATATACACTGACTATTTTATTTTATGCGATTGGGTGAGTATTTATTTAGGTTAATTCTTCAATTAAATACTCAAAATAGTTTGACTAGTAATAAACTAGTTCTTCGAGTGCGAAGAAGTATGCTCTCTTACTTTAAAAGAAAGAAAATATAGTTGCTAACATTTTTTATATATCTTTAACCCTCCATCACGTATTTTTATCTTCAAGCATTTATTTGAGTAATTGGACATGAATAAAGTCACAAATAAAAGGGAGAAAGAATAATACCCATTGTAAAATCTTTTCAGACAATTATTTGTGTAGTTGACAGTATTTTTTCATTAATATGAAACTATTTATTTTATATGTCCTCATAGAGAGTTTAATTTCTACACGCAAAATTTAAAAAGCAATTATAGGAGTGTGTATATACATGTATTTTGCTTTTGAAAAGCAAATACTATGTAAATGTTGTAAAAAATCAGTGTAATGATCATGTATGCTTTATTCGATTAGTCATAATTCTTTTGAAAAGTAGGTAAACAAAGAGAAAATAGAAAGAAAAAAAGAGAGGACGAAGGTAAACTTGAGCAAAGTGGGACTACTGAAGTTAAATATTTACATCAAATTAATGAATATATGATATATTTTTCACGTATATCTTTATCACTTACATTAATTAACAGATACTAATGTGTTTTGAGATAAACCTAAATAAATATTTCCGGGTTAGAATAAGTTAAGCCCATAATAAAGATGTCTAAAAATAAGTTTGTAACTTCTAACTTCTAAAAAAGGCAAGAAAAAACGAAGAGCAAAGAGAAAATAACGCTAGGTGACCCTTTCAACCACTATATACGTAAAAGCTAACAAAATAAGGCAACAATAGTAACAGAAATTAGAACAAAACTTAGCAAAAATCCCTCATCCCACAAACATGGCGATTATATTGGCCAAAACCAGACTGAATTGAAAACTCTTACATTCATCCCCTTTCCATTTTTAGAGGGGCTGGAGATGGAGAAAACCTAGACTAACCCCACCCCCTACCCCTATCTTATAACCATTTTCATTTTTAGCCATGGCCATTTTCTTGTTATTTTTCTTCCTTTTCACCACAACCCCATCTCTCATTTTTTATGTATTTGCTCAATCAGATTTTGCAGATACTGCACCTGCAAAATCTTTTCCCTCTTTTACCCCTAAAGATAATTATCTTATTGATTGTGGTGCAACTTCTCCTACTACCCTTTCAGGGAATAAAAATTTTCAACCTGACCAAAACACAGCCAAATATCTTTCTTATAGTGGTAAAGACATATCAGCTTCTGCTTCAGAAAATCTTACTGTCCCTTCAAATATTTACCTTAACGCAAAAATATTTACAACCGAAGCTACGTACACATTTCATGCAAGTAGTCCTGGATTACATTGGATCAGGCTACATTTCTTACCTTTTAAATACAACGAATACGATCTCAAAACAGTTAAATTCTCTGTTCAAACCGATACATTAGTCCTTCTCCGCGATATCCAATTCGCTAAAGATGAAGTCATTATCAAGGAATTTATTGTTGATGTAACAAATGAACGTTATGCTATTAAATTTCAACCAGCTAAAGGTTCTGTGGCGTTTATTAACGCCATTGAATTTGTTACTGTCCCTGATAAAATGCTTGATACTTCTGTACCTGTACTTTTCCCCGTGTCACAAAAATTTGATCTTTCGAAAAGTAATTTTGTGACAATGTATAGGCTTAATGTTGGTGGTCCAATGTTGGATTCAACGAACGATACTGTTGGTCGAAATTGGTTGCCTGATTCAAAATTTCGAAACAATGCAACTGGTGAAGAGGTATCTACACAACCTTCTGTTATTAACTATCCTAAATCAGGCGGTTCGCCATTAATTGCTCCACCAACAGTATATAGCTCTGCTGTAAAAATGGCTGACTCAGAAACTACACTTCCAAATTTTAATATATCTTGGACTATGGATATCGACACTGCATATTCTCACCTGATTCGTCTCCATTTCTGCGATATTATTAGCAAAGCGCTCAATGAGCTTTACTTTAATGTGTACATTAACGATAAAATGGCGATTTCTGGGCTAGATTTGTCATCATTAACAAATCATTTGGCCACAGCTTTTTACAAGGATTTTGTAGTAGATTCATCTATGGTATCAAACCGGCTCGTTGTACGTGTATCTCCTGTGAATGATGCACAAGGTTTTAGGAATGCAATTCTTAACGGCGTTGAGGTATTTCGGATGAATAATTCTGTGGGTAGTTTAGATGGGGAATATGGTGTTGATGGAAAAAAACAAAGTGGACCAAGTAAAACAGTGGCTTATGTTGGATTTGCAATGATGTTTGGAGCTTTTATAGGGTTAGGTGCAATGGCTGTTAAATGGCAAAAAAGACCACAAGATTGGCAAAAGAGGAATAGTTTCTCATCTTGGTTGCTTCCACTTCATGCTGGAGATACAACATTTATGTCATCAGCATCGCGAAAGAGTCAATTCTTCTCATCTACAATGGGGGGATTAGGTAGATATTTTAGTTTTGCTGAATTGTCAGATGCTACGAGGAATTGGGATCCAACTGAAATTATTGGTGTTGGCGGATTTGGAAATGTATATTATGGAGAACTTGACGATGGGACTAAAGTTGCAGTGAAACGAGGCAATCCGCAATCTGAGCAAGGTATTAATGANGACTAAAGTTGCAGTTAAGAGAGGCAATCCGCAATCTGAGCAAGGTATTAATGAATTCCAGACTGAAATTCAGATGTTGTCTAAGTTAAGGCATCGACATTTGGTGTCGTTGATTGGGTATTGTGATGAAAGTTCAGAGATGATATTGGTTTATGAGTTTATGGAAAATGGTCCTTTTAGAGATCATTTATATGGAAAAGATATGCCACCTTTAACTTGGAAGCAGAGGCTAGATGTATGTATTGGTGCTGCTCGCGGACTTCATTACCTGCACACGGGTGCAGCTACTGGTATTATACATAGAGATGTCAAAACTACTAACATTTTACTCGATGAGAATTTCGTTGCCAAGATGGCTGATTTTGGGCTATCGAAAGATGGACCAACAACGGATCAGACTCATGTGAGTACTGCTGTTAAGGGAAGTTTCGGATACTTAGATCCTGAGTATTTCAGGACACAACAGTTGACAGACAAATCTGATGTTTTCTCGTTTGGTGTGGTACTTCTTGAAGCATTATGTGCTCGTCCTGCTATTAATCCAGCGCTTCCAAGAGAGCAAGTGAATTTGGCAGAATGGGCAATGCAATGGAAGAGAAAAGGCTTATTAGACAAGGTACTTGATCCAACAC